GGCTATTTAGGGTCTTGTGATTTCATTCACATTTTATGATTGCTCTATTTTTGTGAAAAGTGCCATTAGAATTTTTAGATTGCTTTGGGTATTCTGGACATTTTAACAATGTTAATTCTTCCAATCTAATAGAAAGCATGGAATATCTTCCCATTTATTTGTATCATCTTTTTTTTCATTAGATGTCTTATAGTTTTCTTTTACCTTTTTGGTTAAATTTATTTATAGGTATTTTATTCTTTTTGATACAATTGTAAATGGAATTGTTTTCTCAATTTCTCTTTCTGATATTTTGCTATGAGTATATAGAAAAACACCCGATTTTTGTATATTTATTTTGTATCTTGAAACTTCACTGAAATGATTAGTTCTAATAGTTCTCTGGTGGAGTCTTTAGGGTTTAATATGCAAAATATCACATCATCTGTAAAATGGTGACAGGTTTACTTCATCCTTTGTAATGTGGGTGCATTTTATGTTTTTTTCTTGTCTAATTGCTCTGAGAAGAAAAGTGGTGTGAGTGGACATGTTTGCCTTGTCCCTGATCTTAGAGGAAAAGCTTCCAGCTTTTTGCTGTTGGGTATGATGTTAGCTGTAGGTTTGTTGTATATGGTCTTCATTATGTTGAGGTATGTTCCCTCTATACTCACTTTGTTGAGAGTTTTCTTATCATAAATGGATGTTGAATTTTGTCAAAAGCTTTTTCTGCATCTGTTGAGATGATGGGATTTTTATCTTTCTTTTTGTTAACATGGTATATTCCATTGATTTGCAGATATTGAAACATCCTTGTATTCCTGGAATAAATTGCACTGAATCATGGTGTATAATCCTTTTAATGTATTGATGAATTGGATTTGCTAATATTTTGTTGATAATTTTTGCATCTGTGTTCATCAAGGATATCAGCTTGTAATTTTCTTCTCTCGTGGTGTCCTTGTCTGGTTTCGGGTATCAGGACAATGCTACTTTTATAAAATGAGTTTGGAAGTGTCCCCTAATCTTCTATTTTTTGAAAAAGATTGAGAAGGATTGATATAAATTTTTTTAAGTGTTTGGCAGACTTCATCTATGACGCCATCTGGTCCTGGACCTTTTTTTTTGTTGTTGTTGAGAGGTTTTTGATTATTGATTCAATCTCCTTACTACTAATTGGTCTGGTATGATGTCTGAGGCCAGTCTGGGTGGTGGTGAAGCTGGGTTCTTAGTCACAGCAGCTCTCCCCTTCAAGTTGGCATGGTTTCTGTGCCAGAGTTGGCCTCCCCGGGAGTGCTTGCAGCGCTAGCAGGGGCTCCCCGTCTAGTAGAGTCTGGTCTACCAGCCCCTGAGACTCCTGCAGGATCTAACTGTCACTCACGCACACGCACACACACCACATACCTTTTCACTCCCTCCCTCACTGCTGCCCTGCCAGCTGCCATCTTGACTCCCTCTCCACTGATCTTTATTTTGTTTAACTTTTAAAAAAACAGCTCTTTGTTTCATTGATCTGTCCCATGGTCTTTTAAACCTCTACTTTTTCTGCTCTGATCTTTGTTATTTCCTTCTTTTAACTTTGTCTTCATTTGTTGTTGTTTTCAGTTCCTTGAGGTGTAAGTTTACGTTGGTTGAGGTTTTTCTTATTTCTTGATATAGTTATTTATCACTATCAACTTCCCTCTTAGAATTGCTTTTGCTGCTTCCAGAAAGTTTTGGTATGTTGTATTTCCATTTTCATTTGTCTCAAGGCATTTTTTGATTTCTTGTTTGACATATTGGTTGTTCAGAAGCATATTGTTTAATCTCTACATATTTTGTTTTTTTCCAATTTTCTTGTAATTGATTTCTAGTTTCATATCATGTGATGAAAAAAGATGCTTGAGATGATTTTATTCTTTTTGCAATTCTTATGACTCATTTAGTGACCCAACATATGAACCATCCAGGGGAATGTTTCATGTGTGCTAGAGAAGAATGTATATTCTGTTGTTTTTGGATAGAATGTTCACTGAATGTCTGTTAAGTCCATCTGGTCTAACATGTAATTTAAGGCCAATGTTTCCTTATTAATTTTTTTGTTTGGATAATCTATACATTGCTGAAAGTGGAATATTAAAGTTTCCTATTATTATTGTACTAGAGGCCCGGTGCATGAAAATTTGTGCACTCAGGGGAGTGGGGGGGGTGGTCTCTCAGCCAGGCCTGCGCCCTTTCACAGTCCTGGGTCCCTTGGGGGATGTCTGCCTGCCGGCTTAGGCCCGCTTCCCGCAGTCAGACATCCCTCTTGCAGTCCGGGAGACCTTGCTCCTTACTGCCTGCCTGCTCACTGCTCCTTACAGCTCGCTGCTCCTTAGTGCTGCCTTGGAGGTGGGAGAGGCTCCTGCCACCAATGCTGCACTCGCTGACTGGCACTTCCCCTGTGGGAGCACACTGACCACCAGGGGGCAGCTCCTGCATTGAGCGTCTGCCCCCTGTTGGTCAGTGCGCATCATAGCGACCAGTCATTCTGCCATTTGGTCGATTTGCATATTACCTTTTAATTATATAGGATTGCTGTGTATTTCTGACTTTAGGTTTGTCCCTATTTGCTTTGCATATTTATGAGCATAAATATTTATAATATTACATTTTCTTATTGGATTTACTCCATTATAATCAATCATATAATGACTTTCTTTGTCCTATTACAGTCTTTGTGGTAAAGTTTGTTTTGTCTGATATAAGTATAGTTATCCCAGCCTTCGGTTGGTTTCCATTTGCATATAATACTTTTTTTCATTCTTCACCTTTAGTTTTTGTGTCCTTACATCTGAACTGAGTCTCCTAGACAGCATATAGATGGGTCTTTAAAAAATTAATTACTAAGCCATTTTGTGTCTTTTGATTGAAGAATTTAGTTCACTTACCTTTAAAGTAATTATTGATAAGTATGTAATTACTGCCATTTTGTTAATTGTCTCCTGGCTGTTTTATAATTCCTTTGTTGTTTTGTTCTTCTTTTGCTCTCTTCCTTTGTGATCTAATTAATCTATGGTTGTATGCTTACATTTCTTTTTTTTTAATCTTGTGTATCTACTATAGGTGTGTATTGTTTTTTGTGTGTGGTTACCATGAGGTTTATATAAAACAACTTATGTCTGTTTTGAAGTTGATAATGACTTAACTTTGAACACATTTTAACACCACATTTTTATTCACTCCCACTCACTTTATATTTTTGATGTCAAAATTTGCAATATTTTATTTTGTGTATCCCTTAACTAATTATTGTATTTATTTTGATTCCTTTTAACTTTTTCTCCTTCACACTAGCTTTGTAAGTGATTCTCTTTTAGTCTTCAACTTTTGACATGTTACATTTTAATGTATCTTGGTGTAGGCCTCTTGGTTCATCTGTTTTGGAACTCTCTGGGTTTCCTGCATCTGGATATCTGTTTTCTTGCCCAGGTTAGGGAAATTTTCATCTATTATTACTTTGAAAATGTTTTCTGCCCATTTTCTCTTCTCCTTTTGGGACCTCTATAATGTGAGTATATGTTGGTCCACTTGATGTCCTCTGAATCCTTTAAGCTATTTTTACTGTTGCACATTTTTTTCTTTTTGTTCCTCTAATTGGATGAGTTCCTCTCCACTATGAGTTTGCTGTTCCTTCTGCTTCATCAGTTCACTGTTGAAACCCTCTATTGCATTTTTCATGTCAGTTATTGTACTCTTCGTCTCTGTGACATCTATTTGGTGGTGTCACTTTGTTGGAATTTTCACTTTGCTCATGTATTTTTCTCCAAGCTCCTTGAGCATCTTTAAGGCTGCTATTTTGAACTCTTTATCAGTTAAATCATTTATCTCCCTTTCATTAAGGTCTTAGGTTTTTATCTTCTTTTGTATGGAGTGGATTCCTTTATTCATTTTTCCTTGATACTCAGTATGTTTCTATTAGGTAAAATACTCACTTCTCTCAGTCTTGAAAGAGTGGCCTCATGTAGGAGATGAACCATATTATTCAGCCCTGTCCAGGCTGTTGGTTGCCTCTCAAACCTTTGTCATTGTCCAAATAGTCTATTTTATTCTGAGTTGCTCTCAATAGTTGCAGGTGTGCCAAGACCTGTCAATGTCCCAGTGGATAGGACCTCAGTCAGCATCTAGATTCAGGTTGATTGGGAGCCAGACTCTTGGACAGCAGTTTCTAAAGTATGGGAATGTGCCTCTTTGAGGGGAATACTGGGAGAAGGGTGTTTCTGTCTTCTTCCTCCATACCGAGCCTTGGGGTTATAGCCAGTAAAGGGCTGTTTGTTGGCTTTCGTCTATCAGTGGTTCTCAACCTCCCTAATGCCGCAACCCTTTAATACAGTTCCTCATGTTGTGACCCCCAACCATAAAATTATTTTCGTTGCTACTTCATAACTGTAATTTTGCTACTGTTATGAATCGTAATGTAAATATCTGATATGCAGGATGTATCTTCATTGTTACAAATTGAACATAATTAAAGCATAGTGATTGATCACAAAAACAATATGTAATTATATATGTGTTTTCCGATGGTCTTAGGCGACCCCTGTGAAAGGGTCGTTTGACCCCCAAAGGGGTCGCGACCCACAGGTTGAGAACCGCTGTGTTAAAAGTGTTTGGGCCTGTTGCCAAGAGATTCAAAGAGTGTTGCCTCGAGGGAGATTCTCATTGCTGAGTTTGAAAGTGGCAAGGGATGCGGGTGGTCGGAGGAGTGAGTGACTCCTAGCGACAGACTTAGTGAGACTCCTGTTCTACATCAGTGAGGAACTGAGTTCAGTCATAACAACTTAAGCTACGAAGAGGATCTTGAGCTCCAGACGTGAACAATTTAGTAGATACATTGATTTTAGCCTTTTAAGACCCTGAGCAGACAATCTAGACATATTGTTCCTGAAATTCTAACCTAGAGGCCTGTGAGCTAAGAAATGAGTATTGTTTTAAGCCTTGGTTTGCACTAATTTGTTACAGCAGCAATAGAAAACCAAAACAACTGAATATTTTGCTTCACAAAATTGCAACTATGATTTGTTAAATATTTATTGATGTTAAATCCACATTACACCAGCACAACAACCCAAAAATAGTATGATAGTACTATTTTTTTATAAATACAACATAAAAGATGGCAAAATAATGCTACTTAATCCCAAACCCAGAAAATTAGCAAAAAAGTCACATTCAGAAAAATTTGGCAAATAAGATATGACATAAGTCATAGTACTACAATATAGGTAGGTCCATGAGGGACTTTGTATGGTATCTTAAATTCCATATTAGTAATGCATAAGTGTGGCCAAAGAAGCTTGCACCACTGCATAGAACATCTGCCACCCAGTGCTCAAGCCTGTTAATCATTTCAACCTGGTTGGTTGGTGTTCTTACAAAGAAGTAGAAAGCTGTACATGTGAAGCAGTAATATGAAATATATGGGGTGGTACACAGATATAAAATTACTTTAAAAAATACTATGTATTGAATTGAGTAACTGAGCTTAGAGAGTTCAACATTTTTATTATAAATAATGAAAGATATACGTGTTTTGCATAAGGAATACAGTGTTTTCTTTTCATAGCAAAGTACCATTAAAGCCTCATGTTTTATAAAATTAGGCCAAATTGTTGTTTCTTCTTTTTAAAAATTTATTGGTTCCGACTTAAAACCATCAAGTCTGGTCAGAATCATCTCAGTCTAGCTGATGCAGAGTCATGTGCATTTAAAAGTCAGTCTTTGCTGAGACGCCTTTACAAACTCCTCAGAACGTGGCACCTTCTTAAAGCACGGTTTCATGTGAGCAGGGATGTGAACTGGTATTTTCCATTCACCATGTCTTGGTGCCATTGAAAAAAATACATTATGGCACAGACCTGTTTTTGTCTCTCCTAAGTCTCCATTTCCTTCAAGTTGACTAGATGCTACAGGCAATGTCTCTCTTACACCAATCTTGCAGTCTCAGTCCGTTGTCAACTTGCTCTAAACATCTAAAATCATCAACTACTACACAAACTCAGACACACTAAATTTCCATAGCACAGGTGCTCCAACTTCCAGCTGGCCCTAGATTCCCTGACTTGTGAATGGCTGTGTTTTTTCACCTACATGTGAGATTAATTTTCAAGAAAATCAAAGAAAAGCCTGGCCTTTAACATGTCTCCTGCCCTTCTACTTTTATCTAAATGAACACAAAGTAGTAAGTATGTTGGTAGCCTTTTCCTTCGTTCTTCTCCTTACTTCTCTCAAACCCCTGTTTCCTCCAAATTCTGTATGCCTTGGTTATTTGGGTAGTTTGGATGCCTTTCCTGGAATGGACTGTAATATATTTCTGCTCTATTCAGAATACTTTATATTATTTATATTTAAATTAGCCATTTAATATGGTTTGTAAATAAGCTTTCTACCTAGGTAGCATGAAAGGAAATAAAACACATAAAAAATGTCAAGAACTAAGGTGTTACCCTTATTAGAAAACACTTGACAGTATTATATTTAAGGCAAGTAATTCCCTCCTTATGATTTAATATAAAACAGTTTGCAAAGACAAGGCATTAACTTGGATTTCTTTCCTCTTCCTTTTCCATCCTTACATATTGCACTTGGTTCACTGTAGCTGTCTGGATACACTGCCACTTTAGAATCATTTTAGTATTTTTATGGTACAAATGCCTCATGTTACGCATTGCACACTATCATGTTGTGTAGCACCTAAAGCTAGTGTTTAAAGGCTCGTTGATAATACGAATTGTGGTTACCTTTAGCATTTCAGACCACTTTAATCACAGCAATTCAAAAGTTTTCCTGTGCAATGTGTACATTTCTATCAGCATCACCTACTTAAACTCTAAGTTTGGTATATCAAGTAAAAAAAATATTTTGGTTTCTTTTATTTCTTATAGTCAAAGGTATGGTTTTGCCTTTTACATAGTGACAAAGGCATATGCTGGTCAAGGCAGGGTGTTTCAGTGTTTCAGCTTTAAGAAGAATGTCGGATTACAGGTCCTCACTCTCCACCAGGCCGGCATTCAGTGTCAGGTGAGATGGGCTGGCTTCAGGCTGGAACGCTGCTTTGATGTCTAGTCCCTGGTCCGAAAGTGCTGCATAGCGACTGGCTGAGGGGCGTACTTTTTTTGGCTTGGTGCTCTGTGGCTGCTGATGCCACTGGGCTACAAAAAAACAAAACAAAAACAGGCTCTTTTAACCATGATTACTGGAAAGCCCTTAGATGTTTCAAGTAAATACATGTCTTTGACATACTCCAGGCACATGTTCCTTATGAAGACTGGACACACTGATAGTAGAAATCCTAAAATTTAAGGATAGTTTTGCATTTTACTCATATGTTGCTGAGTTACTGTCTATACAGGGTATTGGGACTATAACAGCTGGATAATAAAGACCAAGTGTAGTTTATTTTTATTTGAAAATAAATATTTGCTACAGCACAGGGAATCCTTTGAGATAGTCTCTAAGTTTCCTAATTCACCTCCCTCCTCTTTTTTAATTTTCAGAGTTCATAATGTATAATTAGAGTAGTTTGGTGTTCTGGATGGATCTTTTAACAGTGATCAATAGAAAGGAATTAGGCAGTCGGGAAAGTTGAGGTTACTCATTTTCTGAAAAACCTCATGAAATTATTTCTCATTTAAGAAGAGATAAGTTCTTAAATTTTTCTAGTGGTTTTCTCTATGTCAATAGATCACATTATGCTATTGTACTAGTTTGTAAACTCAATAAACATGATTTTATTTAAATTTAGGATGCATAATCACAAATCTGTTGTTCAGCTGCTTAAGATATATTAATGAGAAAAGCACTAAGCCACAAAAGTATGCATTCCAGGATCAATGGTACACACACTCAGAGTGCAGACACTGTGATAGGATTATAATATAAAGAAATGTTAAAAAAAAAAAGGCAGTCATTTGCAAAACACAGTAACAAGCGTCATGTGAAAAACATGTGGTTATGCCTTTGCCTACGGTTAACGCCTAAGGTATGCTTGGGTAAGGAAGCCACAACTGACTAGCCAACATGCATAGTTTGCTAATAATGCAAAGTTTCTGCATGATACTTGGGTATTTTTCCTCCTGGTGTAGTTCACTATTAATGTCGAGAGACTATAAATAGAAAGAGAAAGAACAATATGAAATTTTTGGCAGAAAAAACACTAGTTTATAAGATTAAATAGCAGTAATGTGATTTGCTGTGCAGACGCCTGACTTTCCTAACGTAATGGATAAATGCAATAAGGTGGAGCGCACTCACTGTAGACGTCCAGCCTGGCCGTGCAGGACACAATCCCAGCCTCATTCTTAGCCGACACGGTGTACCACCCGGCGTCGTCTTTTGTGGCTCCCTGAATGAGCAGGCAGATGTAGCCATGATTGTCCTGGTGCATGCTGAAGAGAAGGATAAGGCCATTAGGGTTTGAAATTTGTAAAAAGTGGCTGTGAACACGAAGCATCATTTTTAATTAGGTCATTAGAAACAGAATAGTGTGAGCAGGCGATAATAGGGTCATACTTATTCTGGAGAGGCTGCCAGCCCCATTAAAGTTAATGGGAGAGAAGAGCAGACGTCAAGAGGTTGAATAAATCTGCACACTTAATTTCTAGTTAAGGATCTGCCTTTACCAAAGCACTGAATAGTTTCTATCACCATTGCAGCAAATGAATTCATCTTTTCTTTTAGGTATAAAGATAAACACAAAAAAATCACCATGAGATTAAATTAGAATGTGCTTCATCACATACCATTATAGCTTCTTTCTAAAGGCTTGATCACACATTAGAGAGTGATTTTTGTTTTTGATGTCATCAGTAGCATGACTCGCACAGATTTACGTGCTATGTGAGCCGTGTTTCCTACGTATCATTAGGATTAGATTAATTCGTCCTGTAGTCTCACCTCACTCGGTCAGTGCTGTGAGTGAGTGATTCATTTTCTTTCTTCCAAAATATCTGAGGTGGTGGCACTCCTGAAACACGGCATTCCAGTCTCACTGGGTACCCGTCAGCAACGCCGGTGTTCTGCAGCTTCTCGATAAACACGGGGGGTTTGTGTGCCTCTTTAGCTGAGAAAACACGACATAAATGATCTATCAGTGATAGATGAAAGGAGCACAATGAAGAATTCAGAAGCTTTTTGAAATATTCCTTAAACGGATCTTTTATGATACTATTTGTCACTTCAGAGGTGGCACGGTGCTAGTCCTCTCTCCAAATTATTCTTTCACCAAGAAAGGTTACTATGCTTCCTTCCACTCATTTGTTTCCTCAATGAATTCAAGCCTGACAGGCCCACACAGTCCACTGGCCATCTGCTCCACAGAATGCCTGACAGACTGTGAGAGACTCCTAGGTCATTGCCAGCAGCTGGGATGGCTTCACTGCTAATTATGTGACTACCCAGGCCCAGCCTTTACCAACCACTGCCACCTAGTGGTGCTGAGGAGGACACGTGTATCTAGGAATTTGATCCACTTTAATTCCTCTCCCTGCTATCTGAAATGTTTGCTATGAAGATTCTGAAACTTTTAAGTGATGGCTTAAGTGAGAAGTACTGTAGGATTGAAAAGGGGAAACATAAAGTTGAGAGGCATTTTCACCTAACTTTGGCAGCTTTAACTAGTTACCTATAAATTACAGATTCCAATTTGTATTTGAAGGGCTATAAAAAGACCTTGAAGGAAGGAAGCCATATAAAAGGATAACTTCATTAGTCTGAAAATTCAGAACTGTTAAAAGCACTCTAATATCACCATCCAATGGGAAATTGTTTTCTTGGATCTGATGTAGAAACAATTTGAGAAAATAAGGTTTAGTTTTATTTCCTTCTGAGCTACCAATAATGAATTTGAGGATACATGTCTTTCTTCACCATATTCTACCTTCTGGAGTGATAAATATATCAAAGCAAAGCTAAGGGAAAAACAGGTGAAGATGATAAACATTCTACCTGAAATTTTCAAATACCCAATACTATCTAAAAAAATATTTTTTATTGATCAGCCATCTCCTATATGCCCCCTACTGGGATCAAGCCTGCAACCTGGGCATGTGCCCTGACAGGGAATTGAGCCATGACCTCCTGGTTCATAGGTCAACGCTCAACCACTGAGCGACACCGGCTGAAGTAGAGGGTAGTATTTTTATTGGACTTTACATGGTTACTTGACCTAGGCTATTTTGGTGAAGTAGGAACAGACTCCACTTAGTATTCTTTCTGGGCCCAGTTTTGAAAAGAGCATAAAATGTATAAAAAATGTCTTAATGTCATAGCAGCTCACCATTAAGAGTAGCAGTTACCATTGCAGAGCATTGCTATGGAGGGTATTGGTGATGCAGAGCTTCACAGATTTAATCTTTATAAAACATGTGAGGCATCATGTTCCCCATTTTTCATATGGAGAAATGAAGTGGCAGAGTTGTTATATATTTGCCCAAGGACACAGCTAGTAAGCGAGAGCTGGGATATGACGTCAGAGACTTTGCTTCCAATGACTATGCGCTGCCATGTTCTAGCGGAGATGTCTCTTGGACCTCAAGGGTCAGTCCTGAGGACAGGCAGCACATTTAACAGGAGAACCCAAAGGGTGTAGTCTGATGAGGGAGAGTTAGAGGAATGAGGGAAGTCAATCCTAGTGCGTAGTATACTGAATATTGTACACAGAATTGTAAAGCATGGCTAACACACAGCACCATAGTCCACATATTGACTGCTACTCTATTTCTTCAAAGAATTCAGTGGCTCTCGGTGTGTGGAAGAGCACTAGGAGTCAACAGACCTTTTGAGACTGGCCCCTAGCTGACTAATGGGACCCGGGAAGTCACTTAATCTCTCTAGTTTCCACATCCCTAAAGCTAGGATGAACATTTGCCCTAATTATCTCATAGGGCTGTTGTAAGGACTAATTGAGATAATGTATATGAGGAATAAACATTGTTGCTTTTTTTTTTTTTTACAAGAAGAGATATCAGAATCTTATGTTCAACTCCTAAGGATGGTATAAACCTTTCCATAAATATACAGTCCTTATCTAAGGGTAAGACTTCATATAACAATACTTTTACAAAGTTTACCAAACAGTATAATCAATTAAAAGGCAATTCTGAGTTTAATGTGACTATAATATTTGGGGGTAATGAAATGTTTAAAATTTTGGACTTTGAAATTGGTATCTGTTACTTTAAAAGCTGAGTCTATCTTCAGAACTTCATGCATAAGCAAATCCTTATACAGCAAGTTTGGTTCTTGGAGCCCATGCTGCTGCTTACTGCCCTTTTCGTAGATAACACTGAGGGCCAACACATACACACGAGTTGGATGACCCAGAAAAGCCCAAATCCCTTTCTCTCTTGTCCAGGCTAGTGGGAGAAGGAAAAAATAAATAATAATGGCTACACTGAAAAAAAATTAGTTTCTGATTTGCTAAGCCTTACAACATGCCCTAATTGGCTATTTTGATGATACAATCTATTTTTCAGCAGTTTGAATTATTCTCCATATTGGTTACTGATGTAGAATTAGTTCACATTTCCAAATGTGATGGTCACTGGAGAGAGGAAGGATTCGCAGCTGAGCCTACCTGCAACCACAAGCTCCAGGCTGAACGAGTTCTGTCCTGCTCGGTTAGTGGCTATACACGTGTAGATGCCGGCATCTCGCGATGTGACAGGCTCTATGATCAGAGAGTGCACCCCGTTCTCACGTACGAGCATCTTGTGAGCACTGTCGGGGCGGACTGGCTTTCCATCTAGTTGCCAGCTTAGATCTGGGGTTGGTAACCCACTGACCTAAACCAGAAAGAAAATGCATATAAATTTCTCTGATATTCAAACAATGAAATCAAGAGCTAAGAAACCATAATAAATTCCTCCCTTGGTAGTACAAAAGATGGCTTTTAGTACCAGCTCAGGTTCTTTTTTGCTTAAAACCTTTCAGTGGCTCCCTAAGCACTCGTGCGCTCACTTTTAAACATTTGTTATAGAGCAGCCTAGAGAAATGGGGACTTAAAAAAACTTCTGTCATCGTCTTACCTCACCAGGGGTTATAAAGACTACTGGATGATGTCAGCGTAGGGCCCTGAGCTCTTTGACAAAAAGATGCCCCACCATAATAACTGTAACAAATACTCAGCTGGCATTTATACACTATGAAGCTTCTCATCAAAGAGTTGTCATAGCTGTGCAGATGGTGGTGCATCCATCAGCAAATAGGGCTATTACTATTATTTGATAATCCTTGAAACTAACAAGAACAAAACAAAATTACCCAGAAAGCCATATCAACAAATTAGCATCACAATGGAAACATCATAAAATCTTGAGACCATGACAGCTGTGTAGATCAGAGATCAGACAAGAGCACATTTAATTGCTAATCACAAGTTGTGCTGTGAAAGGTATGGATGGCTGCCATCTGTCAACTCTTCACAGCCTTGCCTATGAATGGGGAGAAAAGCACCCCTAAGGAAGGCCTTTCTACCCAGCCCACATTTACTAGTGGGGAGTTACATACAGAAAGATGTCCGCTGGACTGCAAAACAATTTTTTTGAAGGGCCAGCTCTGCCAAAATCAGCCAGAGAATTCATAACTTCTCTTCCTGCTGTGTGATACTCATTTATACCACCTAAAAGATGCCTCCCCCACATGTCACATAGGTCTAGAGAATTTAAAGGACAAATATTAAGTACATTTAAATTACTGGTCAAAGGGATGCAGAGATTTGGAAGCAAACAGCAGTAGTTAGGCCGCATGGCTTCTGAGAGGGTCACGCTCTTATGTTCTCCCATCTGTCCACCCCCTACCCCCAGCTCTCCACATACACTGCGTTCCCTGTCGAAGGCCATTGGAAGTGGACTGTAGAAAGAGGGAGTGGATACTTGTGGTCAGGTTCCGGGCCTTTCCCAAGTGTAGAAATAAAGTGGCTCTGCTGTTCCCACTGTTCTAGTTAGACCCCAGACAAGCAGGACCGTGCACTGCCGAGGCTATCGTGTGCTTACGAGGAGAGAAGCCTAAAGCACTGTGTACTCTCAGCCCACCTCATTCACCATGCACCTGTGCCAGTGGGCAGAGTATAAGGCAAAGAGAAAATGCTGGATTCTACTACCCCTTTTCTAACCCCAACTTTCTTGGTTGCATAAGTAAAGAAAGCCTCATCTCAGGAATTGAAGGTGATTATAATCAGGTCATAATTTAAATAGATCTTTTTAATCTTTTTATATGTTTCTAAAAGATCTAATTTTTGTACAAAGTGCTTTTCTAGGAGATAGTGGCACATGGGAAAGCTTAAATATATTGATTTACTTTTTGTAAAAACAAACTGCCCATATCCTTTAAATCTATATTTGTGCTTTGCAATCTCAAAGAGAACCAGCAGAGGGAGCCTAAACAATGGTTCAAAACCTTATCCACGCTGCTTAATCATCACTGGTACTTTTTCATTTCATTTTTCCAGCTTCCTTGCATTATTATAGTGTCACTGGATTTTAAGAACTTGTTTATAACTAAAGATGTTAACCATTTCTCATGCATTGCAAATGATATACCATGTTTTTTGTTACTATTTTACTCTGCTGTTTTACTTTTTGGTTGTATCAAACTTGTGCATTAAATATAATCATATTCTGTTTTAAAATAAAAACCTTATCCATATTTAAGAGCTAAATTTTAAATCAATAAGTAATGGGGAAAACAAACAAAAAGTTTTCCAGAGCAGTTTTTAAACATTTTTGCCTTAAGCTCTTTTGAGAAATGGATGAAAGCTTTATCACGCACACTTGTGCAATTTCAGAGTTCACACATGCAATAAAACCTGGCCTCCCAGAGTTCAGAAGCCCCGCTGTAAAATGGGTGAAAGAAGGCTGTCACTCTCATTTCTCTTAGAAATGACATATGACTGATGAATACATGTATTATTTCAACAAAATGAGAAAGGATAAAACCTCCCAGGGGCTTTCTAGAATTTTGTAAATGGGGCCCTAGGGAACGAACATATTTACTGAATGTTTAAAAGTGAAGGAAAAGAATGATTCAAAACAGTATATACATATCCTGTATATTTCACTGCTTTTTCTTTCTCTTAAGCTGAAACACATATTAAAGATGTCTATCTTACATAACTTTCCCAAAAGAAACTAAAGAGAAACGGCAATGAGGGGAGAAGGGAGATGATCGATTTATAGACAATAGAAAACTCTTACTTTGCAGTCCATTCTGCAGAGTTTTCCTTCTTGCACAGTCAGGTTCCCAGGAGCCTGCAAGAAGTGAGGTCTGAAGAACCGCTCCTGGATGGGTTCATTTTCATCTCCACTGTCCCTGGATCTAGAACGAGGCCTTCGAACAGGATAAATGGTAGACAGTAGTTATTTCCAGGCTCTTAGTCATCTGTTGTTTTTCTTTAAAAATAATACATGGGGTAATAATATAATACCCTTGCCTGATTTCTACCCCCAAGGTTTACATATAAAAACGTCAGCAAAGCAAAATCTTGTTTCATTTAGAAATTTTTTTATAAATTTAACAATCTGCTAATTGCACATCTTACACAGTCTGCTCTCCTAATCTTAAAGCTAGTATAAATCATTAAAAGGGAAATTGGAGAAAATGGGATATTTTATATTAATGTTTTTACCTAAATAAATACTTTGAAAGCTGTATGAGAAATAGCAGTAGCTGTTGCTCATTTATTTATCACTGATTCTTTTTCAACAGAAATTACTGTAACTTTATGATTTTAAATGTATGGAAAATTAAGTTTATTATTTTATAAAAATTTAATATCTTTAGAATCAAAATTCCTTCTCATATTAGCCAGGAAAACAAATTGCAGTTTAAGGCAGGTTTTCTTTTATATCGGATATCCATGTACTAAAGACATTTTTTTTTTAACTTTCAAATAATGTGCAAATCTCCCAGATCTTGTGCTTCTGTGTATGTTGCCAGAGGCATCTTTAAGAGCAATACAATTTTAAAGTAAGGGCAGGGAAGACTTAAGGAGAGCAAGATGTTGAATGCAAATTCTGCCTGTAATCCTTAGAAAGTAAGTTTAAAAACACTTCACTAGAAAAAGTAAGAGTGGAACAAATGGAAGATTGGTATAATAGGCTAATGATTATCAGCTTTTTAATAGTTTACTCTCTACAAATACAGATGTAATTTTTGAACAGAGTGCTTTTCTAGGAGACAGTGGTACATGGGAAAGCTTAGATATATTGAAGACCATAAGAAAAGCAGAAGAAAATAATACAAGAGAATGGATATGCTACTAGATATGTGTGTGTGCAGCCATAGATACAGGCCTAGGATCCTGTGACAGATGTTGCCAGAAACAAGTTAGATTTGCACATGCTTAGGTGCCTGAGTTGGCCTTTTCAAATGTTGCACAAAGGGCTCTGTGGGTCCAATCACATGAGGCCTTATAGACACACCATTTGTTTGGTGCTTACTCAGTTCTTCCTGGTGCCTTCTATGAGCCTAATTTAGTATTTGTTCTTTTCATCAGGGTGTTTGCATCTGTGGCCTCTAGTTTACTGTCATGCTCCGTCTATAAAATATCTAAATAGGAACCATGACGACAGACTGGTTCACTTATCATATTTTTTTCTAAGTGCAAATGTGTTACTAAGAAGTAATATCCTTTCCCCAGCCCTGCCCATCAGCATCCTTACATAAACTCAGGGCTACTAGGGATGGAAAGCACGCACTATTGTTAGCAGATATCTGTTGAGCATTTAAAATATGAAAAATATTTCCTATAAGGTTATGGTCTAAAATAAACTGTTTTAAACGAAGTATCTGAAAAATGAATTCTCACAAGCCAGCTGGTTTTAAGAAACCTTAGTGGCAGTAGTTGATAATGGTCAATCCATACAGCTCTTGGTTTTGAACATTTGTGTAGCATTTACTGGTATTTTCGTGTCATGTAAAGACGCTGAGTTTTGATCTCCTCAAACTAGTGATGGTGTATCTGAGCAGGCTTAGCACACTTTAGTAAATGTTTGCTTCCTTCCTCTTTCTGAATTGCAAAGTAGCATAGTCAAGGTGCCATAACTGTATACACTTTAAGGTTATATTCACATTCTGTCTTCAACTATGTGACTTTTATGGTCACCATAATTCTAAGAGTGTTGAACTTACAGTAATAAATTAATAGTGACACGTAGGGAAAGGAACATCTGAAATACCTTCTGACATGAGGAAGGCCCGAGGGAGAGCGGGGACTGCGACCTCTCTGGTTGACAGCCTGTACCATTAGCCGTCCAGTACAACTGACGCGGCCCTGTTGGAGACATCGGGAGAAGAAGTTAGTTGCTATGCAAAATAACTAACGTCCATTCTCCTATTCTCCATAGCAAATCAATGTGCCATGCTAGTAATGACACCGCCCCCTCTCAGAAATGTACTTTCCCTGGGTTCAGTAAGCTTTACTGTTTTATCTGGGATGGTATTTAAAATGACAGCCTCACCGGATTAACTGTGATCTGCTAAGGTCTCCCTAACACATGAAGCTGAGCTGTAAAATACAGCAGCAGGACATCACCGTCCTGTAATGATTCCACTTTCACAGTCAAATAGCTAATTTTGAAATCAAACTACATGATTTTAGTTTTCTGTTAGATCTTCTCAGTAATATATTTAATAAACATTAGTAGTATCCCTTCCCTAAACCACATATTAAAAGAGATGGCGGCATGACAACATGAGCATTATGAAGTAAGTATGCACAGGGATGACAAGGAGAGCATGAATATGGGATGCCATGTTTGCATGAAATGAACATGTTTGAGATTTAAAGACCGGAAGCAAGTTAAGTACCTAAAATGTGTGGGTCATAAGGGCCTATCTAATGAAAAGCTACATTTTATCTCTGAAATTCGGCAACTGAAAATTTGATAAATGCTGTCATATGGATAGACAAAAGTAATATTTACAAGACCCAGATGACATGAATAAATCACCTACTGTTACTCTGGCTTTTTGTTTTAGCCCTTTCTCCTAAATTTTCCCTCACTATTACAAGCAGAATAGCAAACTAGATGATTTTTCCCCTCCACCGTCTCAGCTCCCAGGAGAATGAGCAGATGTACTTATAAGTTCAGATAATGGCCAAAAGGGAACAGCAAGGAAGGAAAAATGAGAAGCCAATTTATCATGGATTAGACGAGGGAATTCTATCTCAAGGTTGAAGAGTAGCCCTCATGTGCCTTTATAGTCAAAATTTACCATTGACTCCTATTTTCATTCCAAGTTGCCAATGCAGACAGGTTGCAGAAGCAAGAGGTGCTCTGTATGGTCTGAAAAACTGCTTTCCGAGTTCTCCCTGAGAGTGGGCTGGGATGAGGGCAAGGACGCTGGTAGAGGGAACACAGGAAAGAACCCATAGCAGGGTGCAGGGAGCGGCAGGGACCCAGGTAGTGGGGTCTCCAGATCTTCCCAGAGCTAGGACTTCTCGAGGGCCATTACCATCAGAAAAGGCAGAGGGGTGTAATAAGGACAAGAGGAATGTAATAGACAGGAGAAGAATCAGGAATTGCCAAATAGAATGAGGTGGTCATATGAAGCACTCTCAAGTAGTCTTTATACCATTAGATATGTAAATTCCTCTAGCACTCACAATATTTGCTGTCAAGGTCACAGTTAAAACATGACTTTTCCTGAAAATTTCCAGGGAGACATGAAGCATAACATTATCAAGAGGAATTATGTCTAACTTAGATTAATTGTAGCTGAAGTTCAGGCTGCATCATATAAATTCTCGTGTGCTGAGTTCTTGGCAAACACTTGATTCCCTAAGCTACCTTGAAATCTGAAAATTAATTTCATCTAACCCTTCCAAATCTATACCAGCCGTAGAAATCTAGATGTGACTTGCTTAGAAGACACCCATTATAAATTACCCGTCTGATGCAACCTGGTAGGTACTTTAACAAATGAACATGTAAGAGCCATGATTCTTTTTGGAGCCTGAGGACACAAATGCCTTACACAAATACCTTAAACTGTACTGACATATGGGATATGACTTCCTTATTGTTTGTTTTGCTGCTTACAAATAATTTTAATTTGGATAGATTAAGATAAATTTGCATAATCTGGATAGATTTTCTTCCTTGTGGTTTAAAACCCAGAGGATCCACAAAGGAAGTTAATATTAACTAATCATTTATATAAGTTAGAAAAAAAAATCCTTTAGCCTGGATTTGAGTCTTGGCTTTCTTAAAACTTTGAGCAAATCACTGATTTTATTTAAGCCTTTGTTTCTTCTGTAAAAACTGGGGTCTGGCTCATAAGGATCTTGTAAAGATTAATGATATAACCGAAGATGATACTGTAAATATCAAATGGTACAGTAATCCACCAGGAATACATTCCAAGACCCCCTATGGATAGTACCAAACTATGTATACTGTGTTTTTTCCCCTATACATATACCTTTGATAAAGTTTAATTTATAAATTAGGGATAGTAAGAGGTTAACAACAATGCAACAGTTATAACAATATACTGTAATAAAAGTTATATGAATGTAGTCTCTCAGAATATCTTGTACTTTATGTACAGTGTGAATATGCTGGACAAAGGGATGATTCATGTCCCGGTGGGGCAGAGTGGGACATCACACTACTCAGTGTGCAACTGTTAGCTTATGAATTATTTCTGAAATTTCCCACTTAATATTTTTGGACCACAGTAACTGAAACTGTGGATAAAGGGGACTACTGTACCTGACGTCATAAATTATCATTATTAAATTCACTATTGCAGTATTGTGTCACTAAGGGCCTGAGACATTATATGTGCAGGGACAAGGTGATTTTTAGGGTCCCAGCAGCTTGGCTGACTCCAATCTAATTTCCCAAGTGGATGTACTTTAAGGTATGCTCTTACCTCCTTTTTTTGGATTCTTTCAAATACCTCTTTTAACCAATGCCTCCCCTGCCCCTCAGTGCTCTTAATGCTGGGATGAGCCCCAGGCATCTTTAGTTAATCCCTCATGGGTTCTTATGAAGATTAAATGAGTTAATAGGTATAAAATACTTGGTACTGTGTTTTACATACTCAATGCTCTAAATGTTGACTATAGCTATAATAATAACAACCAGATGGATATGAAGCATCCCTTAGAATTGTTTTGTTAAGTACAATGTTTTCTCCATGTAATGGAGTTTTGTCCCTCTCTCTGTCTCCTCCCCCCCCCCCCCCCAATTAGGATGTAATTTACTCCAAAGGGGAAAAAAAATGCTCTTATTACAGGGGACAGAATATGTGGAGAGGAGATCAACCTTTTTAACTTTTGCTGGTGTTTTAAAAGTGCCAAGCACACAGGAAGATTCAGGTGTTGGTTTCTGGGAGGGCTGCGTTTGAGGTAGGAGATGAAAGAAAGATGCCTTACTTCACTTTTGCCATTTGATGATGCTTAGGGTAAGCTCTGCCTCCTGTCCTCTCAAAAAAATAAATAGGGTGAACAGGATGGCATCCTACTCTAAACATTACACAGTTCTACAGTGTTTTCATTGCTACCTCTTAGAACCATATACATAACTACTGCCACAGATATTTCCCAAATTTAAGAAAAGGGAATGTCACCTTTTTACTCCTACGTCATTCTTCACTTCTGAACATAAAGGAGAAAGGTATGGTCTTGAGGGGGCAGACTTAGTAGTTTGATAATACAGTATTGGTTAACTACAGGGTGGGCCAAATGTAGGTTTACAGTTGTGAGTACATAAAACAGTTTACTGTATTATTATTTATTAATCATTGTATTATTTTCTATATGAACAACTGTAAGCCTTATTTTGCCACCACCCTGTATATTACTAAATCAATAAATGACCAGGAACATTTAACAAACATCCAAACTAACAAGATGTGTAATTTTAACATTTGAAAGAAAAAAAAAATCCAGAATTCAGTGAAGCACTTTTGAAAAGATGCCTCTAGTGTGCACAATTGAAAGTGCAGGTTTTTAAGTCTGAACGTTTTACTTATGAAGATTGATCATACAACATTAGCATTAGGTAATTTTAATCATACCAATGTGCCAGTTAATGCTGGTAATCATCATAATTAGAAGGCTCTGCTGCACATTAATGCTACTACATTTGCTGTTAACTTTTCATTTCTTTCTGCTTTATTAACACATCTATACTATTAATAGAGGAATATGCAAATTGTCAGGGACGCCATCACAGTAACAGTAACAACTGAATAGCAGGCTGCGTGGGGCGACTAGGCCGGCAGGTGGGTTAGTGAGGGAGGACCAAACGACTGAACACCAGGCTGGCAGGGGGAGCAGTTAGGGGTGATGTCCCTGGGACCGGGCCTAAACCGGCAGTCAGACATCCCCCGAGGGTCCCGGATTGGAGAGGGTGCAGGCTGGGCTGAGGGAACACCCCCCCCCCCTGCACGAATTTTGTTCACCGGGCCTCTAGTGAAGTAATAATGGAAGTGAATATTTAAAGTGAAGATTAAAACGAGTCAAGCAAACTTATAATGCTAAAACAAAACACAATTAACAAACTATCTTTTAAAATTTAACTCAGCTGTGTGTTCCTTTTCTATTTCAAACAAATCCACAGTTTAAAGGCACAGTATAAGTAATAAGTTTGAATTCTTAAAGGGATTCTGTATTAAAACATCCAGCTTGTAAAGACTGTTTGATGCCTCATGCAAGGCCAATTATTTATATAATATGCAAATAACATTTATATTTCCTTGCTTGTGAAATGTAACTTGTGGCACACAGATCTTCATAAAAGCTTGCCACTTGTATACATAATGCAATTTGAGGAAACATCAAACTGCAAAACAGCCATTCCAAAATCCAAGTGCGATGCAGAGTAACCTAGCAACACAACAAAACAAAGTAAAACATTCGTGTTTAGATTTAGCTGTGTCTTATATACAGGATTACTGTCTAAAGTAAATTGTATTTGTGATCCTCATTTTGGCATTATGCTTGGTGCAACACTGCACAATCACTCATCATTTCACTTAACTATGGGATCGTTTGGCCTCTTAGGAATTGCCTGAGCGGCACACATCGCGTATGATACAGAGTCTAGTGTATGGTTAGGGCTGCACAGTTTGGATGTAGTCAGCAATACCTAATGTAGTTCTTATTCCCCAAAGATTAACCCTGGTGGAAAAATATTCTGCTGTACTTGAGTGTTTTCCTCTTTCTTTGGTTCTCACCCTTTCTCTCATCATTTCCCACTGCTCAGGAAAACTCTGCCGTCTGTGTTCCATTATGAGCCAGTTTTTCCACTCCAGCCT